AAAAGTTGTGATATATTATTGTTAGAATGCAAAAGTCCATAACGTAAATATGAATACACAAAATTATCCTGTTATTGTGATTAAGCACATCGTCTCGTTTTTTAATGCAGCTCATTTTTTAAACCGAAAGATGGCCTCCCTGGCCCAGAGAAATCGAGTGTCCCAGAGTAAGTCCGACTTGCATGAACATGAACATATAATTCATTAATTTATTATTAATAACAGAAAGACCAAAAGTACAGAGAACATATCTAAAAACAAAATTAAGTCTGAAGACGTTGTAGAAGAGCCGGGAAATGAAAACAAACAACCGCCGTTGGAAGCGACGGGGGCAGAAAAGCCCGCGGACATGCCTCCCAGTAAGATTACAAAGATGGAATTGAATCCAGAAGTTACTGAAGGAGAAGGCATTGAAATCTACGACCCTTCTTTGGAATCCTATCATCCCTTAAAACACGCCTATTGGAAAGCAGAACGCGTGTAAGTATTACTGAATTTTTGGAATTAAATTTGGGTCTCAATAAAGTACGGTCATGTCCAAACTTTGTTTGAACTCTGTGAGGCCTTGCATTTATAAAACTATGATCAATTATATCTTTTTAAGGACACCTTACTTGGCCTTGGCTCGAACGTTTCAAGTTATTGAGGAGACTTCGGGACGATTAAAAATGATTGACATATTGAGCAACTTTTTTTGCTCGGTTATGTTGGTTAGTCCGGAAGACCTGGTGCCGTGCGTCTACCTCAGCATCAATCAGCTGGCCCCCGCCTACGAGGGTCTGGAACTTGGCGTCGCCGAAACCACGCTCATGAAGGCAATTTGCAAAGCAACTGGCCGAAACCTAGCACACATTAAGTCGCAAACACATTTAACTGGCGATCTGGGCATTGTGGCGGAACAGTCGCGTGTATCGCAGCGCATGATGTTTCGCCCGAAGCCTTTAAATGTGCGAGGAGTTTTCACCAAGCTCAAAGAGATTGCAAAAATTTCAGGCCAAGCCAAAATGACACTGGTCTATGATGTCTTTGTTGCCTGCCGATTGTCCGAGGCACGTTTCTTTATTCGCTCATTGATTGGCAAATTGCGCATTGGCATTGCCGAACAGAGCCTTCTCACGGCTCTAGCAATTGCACTGGTTAAAAGAAACCATATAAACGATTGCAAAACGAACAAAGTGTGTGATGTATACAAGGATGAAATAGCGGAGACCACATTAATACTTAAGACAACTTTTTGGTAAGCATTACGAGTTTTCACTAACTTAGTTTTTACCTTTTAAACGAGAGTCTAAAGATGTTTCTAAGAAGAAAAGGAAAGGCAACAAGCAAAATGTACAAAAAATGACGAAGCTTTTCTATTGTAGGTGCTAGCCTATTAAATAAAGTTGCAATTTTCTTCCTAGCTCTCAGTCAATAATTCAGTTCTTCAGGACAAACTCTTTTATATATATATATATAGATGTGTATATATATTTATTATTTTGCTATATTAGTTGTATACAAAGATTGCTTTATTATTCGTTTTGCATTTTTCCAGCCAATGTCCAAACTATGACATTATTATACCAGCAATATTGAAATATGATATTAAGGAGCTTCAAGAGCGTTGCCCAATGCATCCTGGAATGCCGCTAAGACCCATGTTGGCGCAACCAACTAAAGGCGTTCTGGAGGTTCTGGAACGCTTTAGTGGCATGCATATTACTTGTGAATGGAAGTATGATGGCGAACGGGCGCAAATTCATTTAAATGAACTTGGCGAAATTTCAATTTTCTCGCGCAATTCTGAGAACAATACGCCGAAATATCCGGATCTTATTGCAAGAAGCAAGTCATTTCTTAAAACGGATGTTCAGTCGTATATAATTGATAGTGAAATTGTCGCATGGGATATAGAACGCAAACAAATCCTACCATTTCAAATACTTAGTACACGTAAGAGGAAAAATGTTGATATCGAGGATATTAAGGTTCAAGTGTGCGTTTACATTTTCGATCTTCTGTTTATTAACGGAGTTTCCCTTGTCACTAAGCCGCTTTCCTTACGTCGAAAGATGTTATTTGAGCATTTTCAAGAAGTGGAAGGCCAATGGAAGTTCGCCACAGCCCTTGATACAAATGATATGGATGAAGTGCAACAGTTCTTGGAAGAATCCATCAAAGGCAAGTATATATTAAGATTTCGCCAAGTTGCATTGATTTTATCTTTAAACAATCGAAAAGAGATAACCACAAGTAAAATATCGATTCTTGTGGGCTTGGATTGAACGTGGCTCATTATTATAAAAAATTCTCTGTTTGTGGCCTTTTAAATCTGGGTTATATACATATTCACGATTTTCGAGGGCTCCAGTGGGCGTGCCTTAATCAGATTCTGTTCTGGTATAATTTATTCTAAAATTTGCTAGCCGTTAATCCTTTCGAGATAGAAGCTCTCATAGAAATCAGTTCGTCGTCCAGATCAAGAAATTTATGCGATATTGGAGTTGAATCTTTCGGCTTGTACAAAGTTAATGTACTTTTTATTTATTTATAATTCATAATTATTTTCGTACTTTTTAGGTAACTGTGAGGGTCTTATGGTAAAGACTTTGGAGGAAGAAGCAACTTATGAAATTGCAAAACGATCAAGAAACTGGCTCAAATTGAAAAAAGACTATTTGTCAAATGTTGGAGATTCACTGGATCTTGTCGTTATCGGCGGCTACAAGGGCAAAGGTCGACGTACCGGCACCTACGGTGGCTTTTTGCTAGCTTGTTATGACACAGAAAATGAAGAATACCAAAGCATTTGCAAGATTGGAACAGGTATTTAATTTACACATTCATGATTACTTTTATTGAATTTTCATTATTACTTAAAGGTTTCACCGATGATGATTTACGACTGCATTCGGAATTTTTCAATAAGCATGTGACTGGCAGTGCCAAATCATATTTCAGATACGACCCCAGCTTGGAGCCGGACGTTTGGTTTGAACCCGTTCAAGTGTGGGAGGTTAAATGTGCAGATCTATCGCTGAGTCCGATCCACAGAGCGTCTATAGGAATTGTTGATGCTGAACGTGGCATTTCCCTGCGTTTTCCTCGTTTCATACGTATTCGCGATGATAAGAGTCCTGAAAATGCAACCGACGCAAATCAAGTGGCCCACATGTACAAATCACAGGATCAAGTGCGAAACAATCAGAAATCCAGCAGTCTGATGGATATTGAGAGTGATTTTTATTAATAAAACAGTAAGCGCATAACTAGAAATAACATTTAAAGCATTTAATTAAGTTATTTAAATGTAGAATGGGCACTTGTGCTGCTTTCAGAAGATTTTGATTCACGCCGTGCATGCTCAAAATTGTCTTTAGTGTCTTGAAGTTTGTGTTTGTTGCGTCTACCAAATCTTTTGTTCTTTGGCGTCTCGTCCGTCACAAAACTATCGCCTTCGGAAGCTAATAAGGGGGGTTCTGTTACACGAGCAGGGTCTTTACAACCACTTGGAGAATTGTCTTCTGATCGTAAATTGATTCTAACCTTGGGCTGGTATATGGCAATTGATGGGCGATCCTGTTAGAGAAGATAAATAATATTTATTTTATCCTCATTATCTTATCTTTGTGAAAACGAACCTTATTTCTTATTCGCCGTTCCTCTGCAGCACGTGAATTAGAAGCTTTACATGCATCCTGTGGCATACCAATTTCCTCACTAGTTAATGGGCTGTTGACTTCTGAGAGGGCTGGAACTGATTTACCAATTTCTTTAGAATTTAAACATTTCTCTGCAGGCTCATTGCTTTTATCAGTTTTTGCCGGTATTTCGCTGGACACATCTACTGATGAGGCTGCACATGTGTTTGGGTCAGGTGAATTGGTATCAGCTGTAGATTTTTTCTTTAAAATGACAATATCTTTCTTTGAATTCGAATGTTTTGAGGGTTTTTGGTTCATATCTTTGTCGTGGCGATCATTTTTTTTCTTATCGCGGTTTTCGCGATCGCGCATCAATTTTCGTTGTTCGTGTTCTTCTCGCCGACGTTGGTCGCGTTCAGTTCGGCGCTTGGAGCGTGCGTTTTTCGCTGTATCTTCCGGCAATTGACCCTCTTTGTTAAATCCTTTTTTGGCATTACTATTAAGAGACTTTTTATTTTCATTTCCAGAATCCTTCACTTTAATATTTTCCGGTTGTTCTGTCGACCTTAGCAATTTTTGCTCTTCACGGTGCTTTCGTTTTTCCTCGTTTCGCTTTCGGGCTTCTTCGCGGCGCTTTTCTTTTTTGTTTGCCAAGTATTGAAGCAGCGGAGTAGACTTTACCTTCTCATCACCTCTATTTTCGAACGTAAAATCAATCTTTATATCCCCCAAACGAGTTGCCTCCTCGCGTTCTTCGGCTAACTTTTGAAGAAATTCCTGAAAGTGCGGTTCCTTTTCAATAGTGTTCACTTTGTTGTCGTGACTCCGCGCTTTATTCTTTAAAAAGCATTGAAACGGGGCATACTCCACAATGGCAACGTACTCTGCGCCCTTTGAATCAACAAAAACATATCCGTCAAACCGGTCGCGAAACTGCAAAACTTCGGCAATGTCTTTAAGCGACATATCAATGTAAGCACGGCATGTGGCTTCTTGTCCGAGTGACCAGTCGGCAGGGCAATAATAGTAGGAGTCGTTTTCCGGCAATGGATCCACTTGCTCTAGAAACTCCTTTTCGGTCATTGTCGGTGGCAAATGACGGACCACAATCTAAGTTAGTGTTAAGCATTTTAGTAATTGTATATAAATATTTAACTAATGCGTACTTTGATGGATTGGTTTGACTTATCCTTCTTATCCCGGCGTTTGTTAACTCGTTGCTTTTCCATGTTAAAACGAATTTATTGTTTATTAATCTAACGCCGCACGAAATGAAATTAAAAACAACACATACTCGATAAAATAATCTTAAGCACATTTATCGATAAATAAACTTAGCGTCGTAAAAAGGTATTGGAACAGTGGAATGAAACATTAACATGTTAAAATGAGTGTATAAACACTTTCAGTCAGACTTCTGGGTAGCAATTAACACAAGATTCCTCTTCCTATTTGCCAAACACTATTTCTTTTAAATCGATTCAGGTTTTCAACCTTATTCTTCCATTATACTAAGCTCCCGCACACATTATATATTCTAAAATGGTTTTTTGTTTAACCAGTTCATACATTTTCTCCATTACAAATAATAAAATTTTTAATTTATTTTTTTTAAGATTTATTCATAAAAGGTTTGATACAGAATACAGTGTAACAATAATGTCTACGTACTGCAACTGAAATATTGTTTGGTATGTATGCTTAACTTATTAAAATAAAATTATCCAAAAAGTTATATTATCAACAAAAGTTACAAGTAATAGAGTATTAAGTAAAGAAATAGTGAAGGGAAATCACCAATCTGGGTAAATGTATGGCCTGTCCAGCAAACTTTGCCCCTACTCATAGTATCCTAAAAAGCAACGATTTTATTAGGGATTGAGAAAGCTCGGCGCAGAAAACGTAATACAAACTATTCTAATTTTTGCATAATACGCAAAATGAGTTGTACACAGCGTAATCTCTTGTGCACGTTGGTAGGAATATGGGGCGATAGTTCCTGTTAAGTTTGGACGGAGCAGAGAATTGAAGACGCCGTAACGGAAAAAAGAACTTATGTCCCCAAAAGTCAACTTATGTGGGAAGACATCTCAGTGGTTAGTTCTACGGTTGGTTAAGGACGGAAGATCAAGAAGAAGAAGTCTATTGGAGTATGATGGCCACCGAAGATTGGGATCCCAATTTAAATCTCGTTAGGCGAAAAACGTTGATCGCTTCAAAACTGACCTCACTACAAGAGCAATATTCAAGGAAAGGAAAGACTGAAGATTCAAGGGACAGATTAATAAACTTTAGCAATGCACGAAGAAAGATAGCACTACAGTCGAAAACTAGGAGTATGGTCATTTCCAGGAGAGTAAGAAGTGAATTTAAAGCAGAGAAGAGATAGGAATGTGAAATAATAGGTTCAACTGTAGAACAAGAGGAAATAATTTTTAAAGGGTAAAAATTATTATTGGCACGGACAGAGGAGTAAGTCGGGAATGCCTCCTTCTAGAGGTTACATTATTTGTCAGTAAACAGTTATACCCTTTTTATCTATTTTTAATGGGTACAGGGTATGAGCAAAGTAAGAGTTACCTTGCCCGACCAAGGGATACCCCTTACCCAGTGCAGAGAAGAGCTGTCCACTTTACAAAGCGGGTGTGATGCATCTTTTATATGCCGTACACTATAGAAAAAGAAAAAATGAAAAGAATATTTAAATATATATATAGTATTTATATTAGGTTTTAGAATAATAAGACATATATATTAAATGTTATGTTATCGTATTCAGATTCAGATGTAGACCTCTTTTCTAGATGTTTATAAATTTCGCAGATATATATTATCTTTAATCCCAATTTGCTTCCCTTATATTAACTGGGATAGACGCATTAGTTATGACATTAATGAAAAGTATGAAGTTTTAAAGGAATTCTATGAGAATATTTACAGGACTCAAGTAATTTATGGTTTCTTGTTAAGAAAATTTTTCTATAAAATCCAAGGCGATTATCTATATTACATTTCCTATATAAAACAGTTTCTTTATGGTCATTGTTTTTGTGACGTGTGTGGTGTAATTTGAAACATTTCCACCCCCAAAACAATGTGTGTTATTTGGCACCGCCTCCAAACACGTAGCACGATATTTTTTCTCTCTTTCGTTTTATGAATCCTTAGTGTCCTTTTTTATCTAAAGGATGAAGTTAAGACAATCGTAACAGTAATTTTTTATTTAACCAGAGTTAAAACTCGTATTTTGTGAAGTGGTTTCAAATTAAGTTATTTTATTATTATGTGATTGTTACAGCGAAATTAATATCTAATAAGTGTCGAGCTCTTTTTATTGTGCCAAATAGTGATTAGATGCAATGGAATTTTCATTTTTAAGCAAAACAAGCTATGATAAAGATTGTATATATAATTCAAATTCGCAATTGCACAGCACGAACGCAAATCCCAGAATTTCTGTGCCAAATCACATGGCCCATTATAATTTAATAATTGATTCCAGCTATAAGTTACGGGCTAATGAGGCCGCAATAAGAAATTCATTAAATCAAGAGTCCAATATACTTTTTTCAAAAATAACGAATGTTGCCGATCTTTATCCTGGAACACATAACATTACGTCCTATAATTCCGGTAAGTCTTAACTCTAATAAAACTATAAGTTAAGTTTTGAAGATTCCTATGCTATATTCCTACTATATTCATCAAATTGACTAAATTTGGGGAAAAATTATATTGGTTAAATGCAATTATTATCTACTTTAGCAATCCTCTTTCTCAGCCTGACATGCTTGCTTCCGCGAATTCGCACTGTAAGTGCTTAGAAACGCCGGCGACAACACTGACTCGTGGCTATGTTGTTGTAGCCTCACTCGAGGCGTCCTCTCCGACTGGGGGATGCACATAAATCTAATTTTTCTGTACCTCCTGCCTCGCTTAGATTGTCAATAACAATCTTCAGGGATGATACGTGGAAGTCAGAAGAAAGCTGAAATAAAAATAGCCGATACGCTGAACATTGCAGACCTCATTGGCAGTTTTTTCTCTATGTCAGGTCTGCATTCTCGCAAATGCGCGACGCCAATCTTTATTTGCAACAAATCATTTTATTATAAAGAGCAGACAGGGATTCACATTGTTCGATCCCGAGTGGGGATTCGCAAATAAATTAATAAGCAAACAAGGTTTGCTTACCATTAAAATATTAAAAATAGAACACACAAACTCGTGAGTGGCAGCGCTGCTTCTTCCGCCTGCGCTACACTTTTGGTGCTTTTATTTTTTAAGCCCAACCCAACATATTCATAATGCTCCGAGTACCTTGTCCGTATATAAGAAGCACAGGGAGAATATTTAATGCGGAGAATGGTTAAGATATCATAAAAAACATAAAGTTTTTCATGCAACTTAATTTTCGACCGATCATTCCTATGGCAGCTATATAATATGGTAGTCCAATGTAAGTAAGATTTTGCATAAGCGTAATGAGCATAATGAAACTTATAAATACGGAGTTTGGTCAAGATATTTTGAAAAACAAAAAAGTTTTCCGTAGAACAACCAAATTTTCGACCGATCGTTCCTATGGCAGCTTTATGATATAGTGGTCTGATGTTATTAGCATTTTGCATATATATGAGAACCACAGCAAAAATTTTAAATGCTGAATTTGGATAACTTATTTTAAGAAACAAATAAGTTTTTTATACAAGAACCTATTCTTCAACCGATCCTATTGCAATCATATTAAATATGTACTGCGTGCAACAGAAAGAGACACTTCTGCAGAGTATCATGACGATAGCATTAAACCCGCGAGACTAGTTCGCATGGAAACAAACAGACGGACAGACGGACATGGCTATATCGACCCAACTGTTGATATTGATCAAGAATATATATACCTTATGGGATCGGAGATGTCTCCTTCTACCAAAATAGTTGCCGTCGCCTGTGCCTCACATAAAAACTAGCAATTGAGTAGCACAGAAAACAATACAATCGCAATTGCCAAGCTGTAAATAGAATTCAATACAGACGCGTATGAATGTTTGTGTATACACACATGTAGACAGAAATTCTTGAATTTGCGCTAGCTGCCGCAAACACGAGATCAGCCAAATCAAGTTTTCTTTAATAACTTCTGTGTTTCTTAACCGATCTTGATGAAATTTTCTACAGCAGATCTTTTTGTACTATAGAATATTTCTATATTCTCAAAAAGTCAATACAAATTGGTTTATTTACCTGATTTATAGCTATGTGGTCGTATTCAATAATAATAACATTAAGTTAATTATCACTTAAAGTTTCGATATTTAACACATTAGGATGTCAATTTAATATTTAGAGTTGGCACTGATTTACTGCGAAATTTGGCAGTAGCACTATCTTTATTGAAGCAACAAAAATTAATACATGTAAATTGCAAACATTTCTTATTCTAATTTAGGATACCCACTTAAATATACTGACGAATGTTCAAGTATAAGCGATAAATCCAAACAAAGACGAATACGTACAACCTTTACATCAAGCCAACTAAATGAACTAGAAAAAATATTTTTGGAAACTCACTATCCAGATATATATACAAGGGAAGAAATTGCATCAAAATTGCATTTGACGGAGGCGAGAGTACAGGTAAATTTATTAAAAGTCCAAGTATATTTGAATGCATTTGAACCTATATAACAAATAGATTTTCAGCAACCTTACTTTTTTGGTTTATTGGTGCTTTCAAAATAACAAGTACCCTCGACCCATTTAACTCTAGTTAGGATTGTTTTTTTTTTTGTTTTTGTTTGAGTGTGATATAGAGGGCTCAAATCGAAAAATAATCTAATCATGAATTCTTAATGCAAGAGAGAGCCACATGAGTGCTTGCGATCAGTTTGTCATGTCCAGAGAGAATAAGACTGGTGAGAGTGGCAGCCAAAAGCCTCCAGGGCCGCACGATCAGTTGCAAGTCTGCTTAGCTTTTAAAAAAAAACTCCGAGATCTAAGTATGTATTATGATGATATGATATTGAGTTCACAGCAAAGACTATATCTTCTCTTTCGAGTGAGCTGTTGTGTGAAATTATTAAAGGGCTTGGTCCGTTCATGTGCAAAGTCGCAGCTAATTGGCTAATTGATAAAGTTGTATAATCGTTCGTAGATGGACGTTCTTTCTAGGTATTCATTGGCACTAATGATTTATTTGCAATGTCTTTTTAGGTTTGGTTCCAGAATCGTAGAGCGAAATTTCGGAAACAGGAAAGGCATGCCGTTTATGTTATGAAAGATAGTTGTAACAAAATGGAAAGGCGGCAAGACGCAATATCTGGGACTCAATGTTACGATGTATTAATTCCAGAATCTCAAAATTCGTGCCAAAGAAAATGTTTTTATAACAAAATATAAAACATACAATTTATATTAAAATCTCCAACCCATTTGGGTGTAGAAGTGCAATTGCAGCTATTCAAGTAAAAACGATTTGCGAAGTCGGGGCGTGCCAATTGAAGATCATGAATAACTTAAATTGTGTTATCTGTGATAACTATTGCCAGGAAACATGGAGGAAGTTATTTAACTGTGGCTCAGAACATTTTCGTTGATCAACAACGAATGACTAAGTGAGTGAGATAAAAGAAGAAGACCTCCTCCCCATCTTTCAACAGACTCCTTAAAGGTCACCGGACAACGTGCTTAGTGCTCTTCTAATGATTCCAGATGATGATTGGAGACGCGAGATACTCCATTCTTACTATTAATCAGATTCAGCAGCCTACCAACGCATGGGAGGCAGAATCCCATCCTCGGCGAGCACCATGCGTTGACGCAAAACCCTTGCGTTAGAGTAAGCCATTTAGGCCGTTTTTGTATTAAAATGAGGTACTCCTCAAGCCAGACACCCGCTGAAGATTTGCCATACGCTGCCGACCATCCAAGCGGTTGTAGTACAGTTTTTTCCAATGCGCGTGGCCTTGGAGCTAACAGGTTAGGACTCCGGTGGGCAGAAGAACACAGGTTCTCCCACAAAATACCCGTACGAAAGCAGGGGCACACGTCTTATATTGACTTCTCCAGCTATCAGGTGATCCCTAACACGCTCCTCCCCGATCGACACTCGCACTGAGCTCAGTGCCGAAGTCACTCCTCCCTCAGTTTTCAGGCAGTTGGCTAATATGCCAGCAGAATAGGCTAATCTGCTCATTGTTAAGAGGCAGTGCAGGCATAGGTTTCAGACGACCTAGCATCTCTGCGGCAGACAAAGTGGCGAGAAGTAGGGTGGGAGCTCAAGATGGCCCGTCGCAGGGTCAAAAACGTCTTCTTCTCCAATGGGCTGGAGCTGAGCATGGACTACACCCACGACGCAGGAAACTCACTCTGGCGAGCTTCACCATAAGAACCGTTCCTCTTCTTCGCCTTACAGGCGAAGAGTAAGCCGTCACCTTCGAATGTCTGAAACGGTTCATACCATTCGATTTGGCTACCCCAGATGAGCTTGATGGAACTACCCAAGCTCCGTTTCAGATCTCATCACAGGTCACCAATGATCTCCCACTTGAGTATGGACTACTACTGCTGACTACTACATCGAGCCACACGTCGTGGATGTCTTCGATGCCATTCCAACAATGGTAGGCGGCTTCTCCCCCTTGCCTTCCTTGAGCTGCTGCAATTAAGAGATCAATAAAGAGGTTAATGGCTAATCCTTTGTTCGAGACAACCTCTTGTTATTCGTTGTGGATGCGTCTATAAGGCTGTCATAAAGCTTGACACCCGCAAGCACTTCTTTTCTGCGATGAACTTGGCTGAAAAGAAGGCAATGGTTCGTTCACTTGCAAGTACCTTAGATAAGTTTGGAAATCTACGGCAATAACCAGGCAGGTCGTCCAGAAAAACAAAAACTTTGCAACGCAACTGGGTGAGTATTATCTTGTTCTTCTCCTCGTCCATTGTCTAGTTCGACTTGCCAATATGCGAACTTTAAATCTACACTAGACATGTAGCAGGTCTGACTATTCTGGATAGGATGCCTTCTATTCAGGAAAGCGGATACGCGTCTTATCTTATTTGACCTTTTGAATAAACCTTTGCTTGTGTGTGAAGTAGCAACTCGGTGGGCGGGACATATAAAAAGGAATATTCCAATGTTTTGGTGTTGCTCATTTTAAATTTTAATATAACAACAATAAGAACAACTCTGTGTAACAGTAGTTTCAACAATATAACAACAAATTTTATTTAATCTAAAATTTTAAAGTTAGAGAATAAATAATACACTAAGCAACTCAGGAATAATATCCGATAATCTGTACAACTTTTACACGATCCAGACGTTAATATGGTAGTCAAATTCTGTGAATAGCCCTCGAAAGTCACAACACATTTGTGGGCGTCCGTGTCCTCGTCATCATCCTGGATCGCGGCAAAAGTAGTTGCATTAAAGTATCCATCCTCGTTTTCCTGCGGCTCATTGGCCACCACCTTGACAATATCATCGTCTTCCGATCTAAAACAATGAAATGTAATTTACAAATTTGAAATATATTTTGCCAGCCTTTTTACGGGCAGTCACATACGTAATAGTTATTGTTGGCTTCGGAAAGACGTTGGAGACCGTGCACTCCAGTTGAGTCTCATTTTGAATTTGATAGCGATACATGTTCAGCGTATAATTCCTCACATCAATCACCTGTACGCTTTTATGAACCGTTATCGTTTCTGTTCTCGTTTGTACAACACATTTATAGTCTCCGGTGGAATCTATAGATGGATTTATGAGGGCCAGTGAGCTGTATTGTTTATTGGGATCCGTTGAGCTCTCATATGAACTATCCACATCACTTTTAAATTCCGGCTAACGAAAGTACTTTATATTTTAGTTTTTCGTTTTAGATAATAATACATACAATTGGCGCCGGATGCGATCCTCGGATCCACTGGTAAATAGTCTTGTCGTTTCTGAACCATTTCACAGTCAGAAATGAATCGGTGTCATTTAGATTATAATCACAATCTAATACGGTTGGTTCCATTCCCTCGTTCTGGAGAACAATAAACTTTGTTTCCGCATCGATTTTGACTGGCAGACATTGTACATCTTTGCAAAAAGGAGAGCATAATATTAAATGAGAGCTCATTTACTAAATTGTGTTATACATATTTGGGCCTAATTTATGTTCTTTGAAGATAATACAACTTTATGCGATTTAAGACGTACAGTAGAAAGTAGGATTGTTTCGCTCTAGGGCACATTTCTTTTCAAGTCTACTTAACCTGCCGAGCGTAATCAACCAGCGTGATATCAAAGATGAAAGAGTTGTCATAAATTTTTGATCGACAACGGACATTAATAAAAAATTCCCCTTGTTTTAATATTATTTATTAAATATTTAATAATATTTGTTTGACTGCGGGCAAAGTTACTCTTCAGAAAATTCTAAAAAACAATCCGTTTTGAAATCAACTTTTGGCTTAACATTAGTTTCTTCTGTTTTCTTAAAAACCACAATATGGAAAGTATTCTCTATTGGGCTTTGAGTTCTTCGAAATCTTAAAGAGTTATGCCTAGGGCGATAATATGATATAATGGACCGATCCGACCGACTTATTTGCTGCTGAAGACTATATAGAAGAAGAAGACTGAAGACTGTATAGAAACAGACAGATGCAAAGACGGACATGGATATACAAGCTCAGCTAATTACGATTTTTTCTTATAACAAAATGTAACAAAATACCGATTGAAGTATACGAAGATTTATCATGTCAGGGTCACAGTGTTGCAAGACATGCGTTCGGTGTTATTGTGCTTGCATGGTTTTACAAGCTTACAACACTGGAACAAAATAAGCACCCCAATAGTGTTGTTTGTTGGCTTACAAACCCGCATCATATATTTTAAGCGATACTTTTGTTTGAATCGATGGTAAGCGGCAAACGCTTTGAATAAGATCGCTGGGAACGGGGTGCCTTATCAGGCACTCGCGACTAGAGCTCTTATACGTGTTCAAAGAAGGGTCTTGCGCTTGGGTATATAAATTAGTTAGGCGACTATTTCAGTTTTCGGTTTTCACAGTGAGCGGCTGACCGCAGAAAATTCGAACCTTAGGAACGGCAACTCAACTCTAGCTACAGAGGCTTTCTCCTAGGCGATCACGCTAGAGCATAGCAGAGAAAGTCCCTGATTATAACAAAAACAAATTAATATATCAATGAAATACATTTCCTAATGAGAACGAAAACAATTAAGTTGAGCCGGCTGATAAAAGGATTTACGGTCTACAATGAAGATCCACTACAAATCCTAGATACCTTTATTTTCGCGCATTTTTTTTGGCAGTTATTTTCTTTGAACAAGACACGTTTTTTTCTTTTATTTGAATTTTAACCACATTTCTTGTTTGTTTTATTTTTGCTTCAGAATTATGATTTCAATGAAACTATAAATTTTCCAATGTTTTTTAGTAGTTGACCTCATTTGAATACACTTTTATTTGCTTGTAAATTTGTACGAAACTATATATTCGCAATAAATATACACAAACATCCTCTTACTTTAAACAGTTTTGTTTATTTTTAACACACACACAAATATATATACATATATATACACTAATTTTTCACGTGAAGAGATGATTTCATTTCTAAATTTATAAATAATTCTTAAATGATCAGTACAAACACTTTTTTTTTTGCAGCAGCAGCAGCAAACGGATTTTTGCCGTTACCTTTTAGAATAGTCGATGCAGCAATAATAAAAGCTAAGAACAGTTGCATATTAACTGATTTTGGGCTCTTCGAAGAGTGTAACACAGAAGGAACTGTAAATTTTGCTATTTTGAAAAACTGCTGCCGAACCGTTCGCTGGGCATGGTCAAGCACAATTGTCTGGTATATCACAACTGAACTATGTCGACCGTGGCATACGCTTAGGCACATTCATATGTTTATATACAAGCGCACGTATTAGTATCTATGTATGTATGTATGTATGTATGTATGTATGTACACTTACAGTGTGGATATATGTCGAGCAGAACAGTCAACGGATCGCAGAGAGTCAAGAAGACAAAACCCACCAATGTATGCTCTGTCTGTTCCGGCTGTGCCTCTTTTGATCGTGTTTTTATATTATGGCACACTTGTATGTTTGTCTTGTATGTGCAGGTATGCATGTATGTATGTATGTATGTATGTATATGGGAGAACTTCTGCTCAGTTTACCATGTGTATCCAAATGTGCAGCTCGTGGCACTTTTTAGACATGTAAACATGTGTGTATATCAGCAGCTGCCACACGAGTGAGGGATGGAAAGGCTTTCTGCTTCGCTGATTTTAGCTAACTACTTTATACTACAATCACCCCGTTTTATCATGCAAGTAGAACTGTGTATATAAGTTTGTTTAAAAAATAGTGCAGTCTACGATGCATGCACCCAACATGTATGCATGTCCATCTG